CCATTTTGCCCTGGGGCCTCAGCAAATTATGTATCTGGTCTAACCTGTATGTCCACAGCCAAATCTATGTTTAACCTCCCAGGATGCATAGCCTGTAATTAGCTGGGTTGAATTGTTAGGAAAGAAACTGTTCGGGCAGTCTCCAGGCCTCCTTTTCCTCACACCAGCAAAGTCTGATGTGAAGTTTAAGGGAGATGTCAGTCTTCCCCGGCTGAACAACCTTCCATCTGGCTTCCAGTCCACCCTGCTCTTCCGGTTCTCCGTCCCTTGACTGTTCCCCTGGCTGTGCTCTCGCTCTGGGGCAACACATTCGTATTATACCGCTTATCTCCCCCCATCTCCTCCTGGTCAGAACGACTCCATCCTCCCAGCCCTTCAGACCCAAACCCTTGTCTTTGGCTTTTTCAACCCACACCCCATTTGTAAGTTAACGCAGCCACCATGCTATTTTCTGACCCACTGCTTCCCCATCACTCTTGAAGTCCAAGCTGCGCCATCTGATACTTGGACCATGGAGATGCCCTTCTGACTGCTCTCCCTGGTTCACCTCCTTCCCAGCCCACACAGAAGCCGGAACCACCTTTTAAAGTCAGGAGTCAGATTGTGTTAGTCCTCTGCTCAACTCATCCATGGCCGTCCAGCCCCATAGGCCTGAGCCTTCTCCTTATCCCTCCCTCTCCTTAGGCCCTCTGCCTGGGAGATCTCTGAGCTGTCAGCATCCTTCCTCCCCAAGTCAAGCTTCACTCTCCCACAGCAGCCACCAACAGCCACCAACAGCCACCACTGACCGTCCCTTTATTCTTATTTATTGAAACAGGATTTCTCTGGGTAGCTTTGGAGCCTGTCCTAGAACTTGCTCTGTACACCAGGTTGGCCTTGAACTTACAAATCTGCCTACCTCTGCCCCTGAGTGCTGGGATCAAAGGCGTCGCCACCACCACCCAGCTCCCTTTTGTTTTAACTTTTTTTTTAATTCTTTGTCTTTCACATCACGCCTCCCGATCCCACCCATCCCCCTCTCTCCCAGAATAAAACAAAAATAAAATTTAAGAGAAAAAAAGGGAAAAAAAGGAAGAAAGGGAAACTCTCGTCATGGAAGCTGCAGTGTGACACACAGGGAATCACACAGTAAACCCTTTTATCCATGGTTTTGTTTTTTTTTTTTTTTGAGACAGGGTTTCTCTGTAGTTTTGGAGCCTGTCCTGGAACTAACTCTTGTAGACCAGGCTGGCCTCAAACTCACAGAGATCCGCCTGCCTCTGCCTCCCGAGTGCTGGGATTAAAAGCATGTGCCACCATTGTCCGGCTTCTTTACATGAAGGCATTTACCACAAAGAATCATTCATCGACACAGGACCCCTGTCCCTTTATTCTTATCCCTGTATTCCTGTTTATTATTGTCATCGGATACACTGATATTACTTGCTTTCTTTTTAAAACTGTAGACTATTGCTAGGTGGTGGCGGCGGCACATGTCTTTAACTCCAGCACTTGGGAGGTAGAGGCAGGTGGATCTCTGTGAGTTAGAGGTCACCCTGATCTACAGAAAGAGTTTCAGGACAGTCAGGAGTACAGAAAGAAATCCTGTCTCAAAAAAAGCAAACATAAACAAAAAACAAACAAATAACAACAACAACAACAAAAACCACCTGAAAACTACATAATGTCAGGGCTTTTCTTTTTTTTATTTTAAACAGGCCTCACTTAGTCCAGGATGACCTTACACTTTCCACTCCTACCTCAGCTTCCTAGAGCTGGGCATTGGGTGAGTGGCAACGGCAAGAATTCTAGAATGACTATGGTAGCGTTTTAAGTAAGTCACAGCAGTCACTGTCCCTCACCCCAGGAAGCTGTCCCCACACACTGCAGTGTGGGCACTTATGGAGATGACAGGGGCCAAGCCTCCTTCAAGATCATGTTATGGGGACAAACAGGTGACTCAAGACTGGTATTTGCCCATTCTGCCAAGAGTTTGAGCCCAGAGGGAGGCTTTGTGTACATTGCACATATCTCTAAAATAAGGCAGCTTTTGTTTAAAAGAGCTGGCCTTATAGGTAGAATGCAAAACTCTCACATTCTGGTAATAAAGCTAAACTTTTCTATAGACAGCGGGACCCTAAGTCAGGCTTGCAAAATAACAGTGTGGTTATTTCTGTCCCAAATTCCCGCTCTTGACTGCTTATCACCCTAGAGACACCTTGCCTGGCTTCCAATCTAGTTCCCTCCAAAGCATCTCCACTGATCTCCCCCACCCAGCATCACCCTCAGTTTGTTAACTTGAGACCCCACCCTCTGGAGTTTCTCTTCACCCTGTTTCTAGATACAAGGGAAGTGGGGCGGAGACAGAGAATGGTCCTGGGGAGTTGTCATGAGCACGAAAGACCTAAGTTCTAGTTCCTTCCAATAATAATGCATGTCCTTGGGCTGGCAATGTGGCTCAGTTGGTAGAGTACTTGCGTAGCATTCATGAGTTCCTAGGTTCCATTTTAGCACCAAAAGGGTGTGGTGGTGCCTGCCTGTAATTCCAGTAATCCTGGCACTTGGGAGATGGGGCAGAAGGATCAGGTGTTCAAAACTCATCCTGGGATGTATTAGACACTGATTTTAAGAAAGGAAAACATGTTGTCTGTCCCTTTGGAGAAAATCTGATTTAGAAGTACCTCTGCCATCCTCTGAAGGTGTTCTCAGAAGGATTTCGCAATAACTAGTCTACAATATTTATTATTGAACTATCACTCAGCTATTGAGAATTAAAACGTTCTAGGGCAAAACATGGTGGCACATGACTTTAATCCCAGCACTCAGGAAGCAGAGGCAGACAGAATCCTGTGAGTTATAGGCCAGCCTGGCCTACATACTGAGTTCCAGGACAGCCAGGGCTATGTAGAGAGATCCCGCCTCAAAATAAACAAAAACAAAACAAAAAACAAACATCAGAACATTTAAAATGCTGGTTTAGATTATAAAACACGTAATTTTAAAAATTGTATTGAGACCTTTAATCCTATACATGAAAAATCTAAAAAAATTTAAGAGGTAGATTGTAGAAAATGCCTGTTATTATTTTCTATGAGGCTCCTCTGACTAGCACCCTGCCTCAGAGTTACCTGAACTTTAATTGGTTTACATAAGAGAAAGATCAAGGGACTAAGAAATAGAATGGAGCGTAAGTCTTGCTTGTTCAGTATGAAGATACAATTTAGTGGCAGGGCCTTGGGTGTTTGCTATATCTAAGAACTTATTCCTCAGTTAGCATGCTGACACATGTATACAATCATAGCACTCAGGAAGCTGAGGCAGGAGGATGGTGAGTTGAGATCTGCCTGGGCTATGAAGGAGATTTTGTCTCAAAGCAAAGAAGAAAAAAAGTAACTAGCGTTTGGCAGATCAAGTTATAGTTTAAACTCACTAGGAAACTCATGTGCACCACCACATTCGGCTGGTCACCCCCTTTGTATGTATTTTACTATACACACATAGGAGAAGGTATGTGCATTCATATGTGCATAAAGAGAAAGAAGGTAGCAGGAGAGACACAGAGGAAGAAGTTCACATGTAGCCCAGGCTGGCCCCGAGCTCCCTATGGAGCTGAGGGTAATCTTGAACTTCTAATCCTTCTGCATTTACCTTCCAAGTTCCAGGATGACAGTGTGTGCCTCTATGCTGGGCTCACACTTTTATTATTAATAAAGCAGCTAACATTTATGGAGGTTAGATACCAAAAGTACCACTTATCGATGTGCCAGGCATACAGAAGATGTCTTGCATAACTAAAGAGGCTTCACTATCCCTGTGAACCCACAAAGCCAGGGCTACTGTCTCTGCGTTCCAGGTCTGTGCTGGCTCCACTCTAGCTTGAACTCAAGAGGCTCTGGAATCCAAACCTTTTCTCTCTTAGTCTGGCTCCAGAACACAATGGGTCCTGTGTCTCCTGACCTTGGCTTCTGTATTCCCTCCTTGGCTGAGCCACGGTCTCCTGAGCCCCTCTCCTTCATCGGTCTGGTGATCACTGGAGAGAGAGAGAGAGAAGTTCCTTTGACTTCAGCTTGGCTTCTGGAACACAACGCCGAGTCTTTTCCCTCAGAGGCTTTCCAGCTTCCCCTGGGTGAACTGACAGCGGTCACTAGACGTTCTGAGTGGTTGAGCACGAGTGTAGAGATTAGTGTTGAATGTTAGGGCTTTGTGTCCATTTCCTGCCTAATCTAGGGAGACACACAGCAAGGCTTGCTAATAGTTTACAATAGGGGAAGGCGAAGAGTCACATCCAGGAAGATTAATCAATAGCTAACTCCACAATCTTCAGTGTCATAAGAAATGTAGGCTGGGTGGTGGTGGTGCATGCCTTTAATCCCAGCAGGCAGATCTCTGTGAGTTTGAGGCCAGCCTGATCTACAGAGTGAGTTCCAGGACAGGCTCCAAAGCTACATAGGGAAACCCTGTCTCAAACCACCCCCACCACAAAAAAAAAAAAAAGAAGAAAAAGAAACATATGAAATAGGCAAGAGAGTGACTATTTACTCATTTTGCAAACAGAGGCACAGGAAAGGGATGTGGGTTGCTCTGGGCCACTGAGTTGATCAGAACCTAGACCCAGGGTTCTTTCTACACTCAGTCATCTCCATTCATTAAAAAAAGCCACCACTCTAGTCACAGCCTGGAGTGCACAACCCCCAGTCAGCCAGTGCCTTAAAAAGGAATCCAGGTACATGCTGGCACAAGGAGCCACATGGCTGCTGGGCAGGAGGCTGCACACACCAGACTGTGCCAGAGGGGTCCCTGGATAAATATGGAGCTTGCAGGAGGACAGGGCCAGCCCAGCCATTTCCCCTTCACACCTGTGCAGTGTGATAAAGAAGAGTGGAATTTGCTCACAGCTGTGGTCTAACCAGATAAAACTTTTAGGCGGGAAGTGACAAGCAAACTTGAGTGTGTGTGTGTGTGTGTTTTTTAAGTGTTAGTTTTGACATTTTAAAAAAAGCTTTTAGGGCGCTGGTGAAGTCAGAGCGAATACCAAGAAGGTGGTGTGCAGAGATGGACGTGGGGAAGCATGAATCTCACCTGAAGCTCCTCCAGACACCTGAACCTCATCCACGGAGAGCCCGTGTCCCAGGTAATGACAGACCTGCAGAGGTGGTGGCTGTGGGGGACACGTTATTTTCCTCTTTTATTGATTAGGTATAAAAGAGAAATGAGATACATCCATGGGAAGATGAACTGTGACCTGCTGAGTTGCATTTTGGTGCTAAGAACCTCGGGGTCTAAAGAAACACAATGGGCAGTAAACAATTAGTGAAAAATTCTCTTCAATGAAAGATAGTGAAGGTACCCAGGACACTCCTTCTGTTCCAAGGCAGAGCAGGCTGGCAGGACATCTGGAAGGATATAGCAACAGGAGTTCCACTGGGGCCTGGTCTATCTGAATGCTCACTCTTTTGCCTTCTAATTTATCTTACGGTCTGTTCTAAAGCAGGATTTCTCAAAGTTTTGTCGAACCCTGGACTTTGAGATACTCAAAGACACAGTTGGAAAACTTGTAGCTTCTGATGAACCTATGTACCCTTTCTTAAAATAAAAAAAAATTAAAGACATCATTGCACTAAGAGAGTAATCAACATTGTTGAAATTGTGATATAGCAATATATGTGCTTATTTATAGATGCATGAAGTCATGTATACAGTAGAGGGTCTAATAAACATAGCATCAGATCCAACAGATCCATACCCACAAGTGGTCACTGATACTACATGCAAGAATTGTGGTGTCATATAGGAAAACATTCTGTCATTTATTTGAGTGATAAAGTGCCACGCTACTAAAGCCACTGTGGCTTTTACTTACATTCGCACTGTAGAGGAAAATGTACTTAGAAGTGGGTGAAAATATAATTTTTCCTCATCAAGAATCCCTGAGCTGGGGATGGAGCTCAGTAGCATAATGCTTACCTAGCATGTGTGAGGCCCTAGGTTCAATTCCCAGCACTACCAGAAAAAAAAAGAAAAGAAAGGAATGGAGGGAGGGGGGAGGGAAGGAGAGAAAGAAAGAACTCTTGTCTTAAGAACAAAAAGTGTCCTAATCCAAGGGCACTTCGTTTCTTGGAGTTCCCAGTGCATATTGGACAGCCACAGGCTGAGAGGTTTAGTGTCAAAGGCCTACTAGTTTTTCTCAAACTTAGGTAGGAATAGACTTCTTTTTTTTTTTTTTTTCTTTCCTTGGTTTTTCAAGACAGGGTTTCTCTGTGTAGCTTTGGAGCCTGTCCTGGAACTCACTCTGTAGACCAGGCTGGCCTTGAACTCACAGCATTCTGCCTTCCTCTGCCTCCCAAGTGCTGGGATTAAAGGCATGCGCCACCACCACCCAGATGGTAATAGACTTCTTTAAAAAAATGTTCTTGCAAACTTTGTGTGTGTGATGCATATTTGCATGTATATGAACCCGTGTGTTTGTGTGTGTTGTTTAGGCAAGAGGTTGACATTGAGTGTCTTTTTCCTTCATCATTCTCTTTCTTATTTATTGAGTTAGAATCACAAACCTGAACCCCAAGCTTGCCAGTTTGACCTGTCTACTTAGCCCGTTTGCTTTGGGAATCCCCGTGTCAGGCACCAGACTCACTTAACCTGTGCATTTGGGTACTGGAGATATGAACTGTGGTCCTTATGCTTCCGAGGCAAGTGCTTTACCTGCTGAGCCATCATCCCAGGCCGGAATTTGCTTTTCATAGTACCTGAGTATCTCAAATAATTTTAAGAAACACAATCCTGCCGGGCGATGGTGGTGCACACCTTTAATCCCAGCACTCGGGAGGCAGAGGCAGGCAGATCTCTGTGAGTTCAAGGCCAGCCTGGTCTACAGAGCTAGTTCCAGGACAGGCTCCAAAGCCACAGAGAAACCCTGTCTCAAAAAACCAAAAAAAAAAAAAAAAAAAAAAAGAAACATAATCCTAAGGACAAAATTCTAATAATAAAAGCACAAGTTGAACAGATGTGGTGGAGCACTCTGGAGGCTTGGGATCGGGAATCCAAGGCCACCTACAGATGTGCCAGATCCCTCTAGACAGAATGCACCCTGTCTACCATTCCTTTCTCCAAAAGAGAAAGAAAGGTTAGATGAGTGAATATGCTTATTTCAGTTGGGGATTATTATTATTATTATTATTATTAATTATTATCAGGTTTCTCTGTGTAGCCCAGGCTGGTCTGGAACTCACTTTGTAGACCAGGCTGACGTTGAACTCAATGACTCGCCTACCTTTGTCTCCTGAGAGCTGGGATTAAAGATGTGTGTCACCATCACTCAACTATCAGTTGGATATGATTACAGTTTGATATAAAAAGGACAAAAACAAGTAGTGATATGCTGTGTTTCCCGTGAGTGGAGTGACTGGCTAGAGATGTGTCAGCTAGCTTAAGTACCGTGTCACAGGGAAATTAGAGTGTTGAAGACTGTGTGAAGGAACTATCTTTGATCTAAGTTAGGTTAATAAAAGATAGGATCACAGTATGCTATCATAACTACTTTGAATAATATATGGCCTGGATGCAAATAGGGAATACAATGAAAGCAGGTTATTATGTCAAAGATGACCAAACATGACCCATTTTTCTTCTATTACTTAAATATAATTTTTAATAAGTCAGTAGGTCAATAGTGCACTTTTGAACAAATACCATCTGTGTAGGACTCTAAGCTTTTCTCACTCAAATTCTCACTAAATGTCTGCTCCACTGGGTGTGCGTTGCTGCATGCCTCCTCTTCCAGCACTCAGGGGCAGAGGCAGGCGGATTTCTATGAGTCTGAGGCCAGCCTAGTCTACCCAGCAAGTTCCAGGCCAGGTCTAACGTGTGAGACCCTGCCTCAAAAAAAAAAAATCTCTTCCATATTCTCTGAAGGTGCAAGAACAAGGAAGACATGGTCCTTGACCTCAAAAATCAAGGGTAAAACTCAGAATAGGGGGTCTAAAAATCTGTAGGGGGCTGGAGAGATGACTCAGCATTCAAGAGCACTTGTTGATCTTCCAGAGGAACTGGGTTCAAATGTTTCCTAACTGTCCCTAATGCCAGGTCCAAGGTATCTGATGCCCTCTTCTGGCCCCCTTAGGCACCAGGTATACACGTGGTGACAAAACACCCATAGACATGAAATAATAAGACTTACAAATAATAACTAAATAAACAAAGCTCCGGGGGCAGGATACTTGCTGAGGCACCCGCGGGTCACCGTCACAGCCCCCAGTAACTTTCCTTCTCACCCAGCAGAAGTCATTGGAACTTGGAGTCTGAGGAACAGAGAGCAACTCAGGAAGAGGAAAGCCGAAGTGCAGGAGAAGCAGACGTCGCAATGGCTCCTTGGGTAGGTTCCTTACCTGAGGCGGGCATGAGTGTGCATGTTGCACATCCATGCTCTTGCTCACGCCATTTTCCCATGCATCCTACGTCAGGTGGTGGTGTGCTTGTGTGTTTTATTTTGTTTGTTTTTAATGTAGTCTCCAGTGGGTTTACTCTCTTGCCCAATATCTCAGCAGTAGAGTCATGGCAACAGAAATTTCCCCCGTTTTCTTTCTCTGTATTTTCACCATCTCCTGAGGCAGTCTCCAGCCACTGAAGCTGGATCATCCAGGATAGCTCTTGCTACCCTTTATTGGTTCTGCTAGTGTTAAAAAAAAAAAAGGTGCATAAGGCCTGCTTGGTAGTGCATATGAGTAACCCCAGCCCTCGAGAGAGTGGTGGTTGGAAGCTGTGAGTTCTAGGCCTCACGTGGCTTAGTGAGAACACATACTGACACATGAAAACAAGGGGCTGGAGAGACAGCTCAGCTGTCAAGAGCATTGCTCCCACGCAGTATAGATGGACATGCAGGCAGAGCGTTCATGTATGTTAAAATTAGAGGGCAGGTGGAAGGCCTAGCTCATAAGCAGAAATGACCATCCTGACATCCAACTTCCTAGTCACTGGCCTTGGGCAATTTACAGAACATCCCATTGCACCTCAATTTTGTCCTCCGCACAATGGCGATAATAGCATTTACCTCCTGGCCTGAAGGAAATACGGCAGGATAGTGCCAGAGACATAGGGAAGCCTAGAGATGGCTCCTATGGTAATGCTGTAGCCCTACTTTATACTGTTTGTGAGTCATTCACCCAAGGCCATAATTCCACACACAATTGGAAGGTATTATTTGTCTCATCTTACCTCTAAGGTAGTCAAGAAATGGAGAGATGAATGACTTGCCCTAGTCACAAGGGAGCATGGACTAAACTTTAGGCCACTCAGATAGTTTTGTATCTTTAAAACAAATTTTATTATTATTATTTTACTTTTTTTTTTCGAGATAGGGTTTCTCTGTGTGGCCCTGGCTATCCTAGAACTCACAGAGATTCACCTGCCTCTACCTCCCAAGTGCTGGGATTAAAGGTGTGCATCACTACACCCAGCTTTACGCTTTATTTTATCTGTGTGTTTTCCACTGAACTGTGTGTTTTCTCTGGTCTTGATGATGACGATGACTTGAGAGAAAAAGAATTTATTAGAGAGTCAGAACACAACTTTCACAGTTGGTTATGTCCACCATACAAGCCCTAGGGATGAATTGGGCTTGATGGCAAGTTCCTTTACCCACTGAGCCATCTCACTGGCTTTGTTTCATATTTTAAAAAATTATTATTATTTAAAAATTGTGTGTGCATGCGCGTGTGTGCACGTAAGAACAGATGCACCCAGAGGCCAGAGGTCCATGGGATCCCTCTGGAGCTGGCATTATATGCAGTTGTGAGTTGCCCCATGTGGATGGTGGGAAACAAATTTGAGTCCTTGGCCAGAATAGTATATACTTTTTAACTCTTGATCCATCTCTCCATCCAAGCTCGATTTTGTAGTTATATTTTAAGTTACATTTTATTGATTTAGTATGTGACGGTGTGGGTGCATCCGTGCATGCAGAAGTCAGAGGACAACTTTGGGGAGACCGTTCTCTCCTCCCACTGCATGAATCCTGGGTCACTTTTCTTCTCCCACCACACGGATTGTAAATGAATGCAGGCCAGCAGGCTTTGCAGGACGGGCTGAGCCATCACCTCAGTCCTAATAAAGACTTCAGTTAGCTCACCAAGCAGTGAGTTTCCATAGGTTTTTCATATATTCTTAGGTTACGTTAACACCCTCTCTCTAGTGCATGCATATGTACAGGTATATGCACATATGTGTATTTGTGTGTGTGTGCGTGTGCGTGCAAGTGTGAGCAAGTAGGCAGACAACCTGAAGTGTCATATTCAGGAACAATAGCCACCGCCTTTGAGACAGGGTCTCTCACTGACCTGGAGCTTATCGATTAGGATCCACTAGCTGGCCAGGAGGGTCCAGGGATCTCTGCCTCTGCAGCTCTGAGATTACAAACTCACGGCACCACACACTCTGTTTTCACCTGGGTGCTGAAGACAGAGTTCAGCTAAGTCCTTTACGCTCAGAACCACCTTCCCAAGATTGAGTGTTCCCTCTCACCCCCCCATTACACACACACACACATGCACACACACACACATGCACACACACACACACATGCACACACACACACATGCACACACACACACATGCACACACACACACATGCACACACACTCTAGTTTTAAAACCATAAAATCCTGCATGGACACTTTCCGAGCAGTGAACACTGAGGACTCTCAGGGCTGTTTATTTTGCAAACTCAGAGACTGAGGTCTGGGGAGAGTAAGGGCTTGTTTAAGGTCATATAACAAGGCCACAAAGACAGGGGTGGGTATTGGAAGCATCCATTTAAATCCTGTAGCCCTGTTGCTGACATTCATTCTGGTCTCTCTGCAGAGAACAGAAAAAACGCAAGTGTCAAGGCACAGGAAAAGGAAATTCAAGAGGCCGAACGAGACAAAGAGGCACAAAGGTGCAGGCAGAAAAGCAAAGGGTGCAGGCAGAAATGGAGTGCCCTGTAAGTCCTGTGACTGCAGTCCCCCCACTGGTGGTGTGCCCCCCACCTGCACAACACTGTGCTGAAGTGCGCCAGGAGAGAGCAATACAGAACCACTCGCAAGCATACAAACACACGGCCAAACCGGAAGACCGCTCTCCTAGCACGTGCCAAGAAATGACTGCACTTCAACATTCTTCTAAACTATGCCAAGACACGGCTGAACCCGAGGTGCTCTCTCCTAAAATATGCCAGGAAATAGCTGTGCCCCAAGACCATTCTTCAAAAGCACCCCAAGATATGGCTGGACCTGAGGCGCTCTCTCCTAAAATATGCCAGGAAATAGCTATGCTCCAAAACCATTCCTTCAAGGCACCCCAAGATATGGCTGGACCTGAGGCGCTCTCTCCTAAAATATGTCAGGAAATAGCTATGCTCCAAAACCATTCCTTCAAGGCACCCCAAGATATGGCTGGACCTGAGGCGCTCTCTCCTAAAATGTCCCAGGAACCAGCTGTACCCCAAAACCATTCTTTCAAGGCACCCCAAGATATGGCTGGACCTGAGGCTCTCTCTCCTAAAATGTCCCAGGAACCAGCTGTACCCCAAAACCATTCTTTCAAGGCACCCCAAGATATGGCTGGACCTGAGGCGCTTTCTCCTAAAATGTCCCAGGAACCAGCTGTGCTTCAAGAACATACTTTGAAAATGTGCCAAGATGTGGCCAGGCCTGAAGTCCTCTCTCCTAAAACACATCAAGAGGCAGCCGTTGTTCCCTGGACAACACTTGGAGATGCTGCTGGCCCAGGATGCTCTCCTGCAGCACTCCCCCCATCAGATGTGCCTGAAGGCTGCCCACTTGACGCATGCCCCAAATCAGTCACACCAGAGAAAACCGCTTGCCAAGGAGATCAGGGCTTGGCTGTGACTGGAGGCTGCTTTCCTGAAACACGAGAACGCAGTGCGTCTGAAGACGTTTCTATAAAAACACGCCAAGGAGGAACGGAACCTGAATTCATTTCTCATGAGATCTACAAACACACTGAGCCTACAGTTTCCTCTCCTGAAACAATCCAAGATTCACCTGGGCCTGAAGAATATTCACCTGAAGCCTGCCATGAAATGCCTGGGCCTGAAGACCTCTCTATCAAGACCTGTGAGAAAAGGGATGGGCCTAAAGACTGCCTTCCACAACAAACCCAGGAAGCAGATGGGGCCCAAGGACAGGACCCTCTTCCCTACCAGGACGGTGATGGTGCCTATCGTTTCTCTCAAGGTAGGATATTTGAATAGTAACAACTCCCTCTAGATTCGTGATCGAAAGCTGCTGCTGACAGTAGCTAGTTATCTCAATGGGAGCTGTGACTATCACTGAATCCTTTCGAGGAAAAGGTATTTTTCAGGTGACCAACATTCTGTTGGCACATTTCCAAAACATTTAAATAATTGGGAATTCTATTTACCCATTTTGAGAAACCATAGTAAGAGAAACAAACCTGGAATAGGATTAATTATGTGCAAAAAATGCTCTTTTTTGGTTTCTGAGCTAGTACTCACTATGTAACTGTGCTGGTTGTTTTTTATTGCTCAGTCCTCTGGGAGAGCCCCAAGTCCTCTTAAGCAGTCAGACATTTCTCAACCCCTAAAAAGGCCACACACGTACGCGTGCATGCGCGCACACATACTCACACACATGCACGCACACTGAGAGAGAGAAAGAGAGAAAGGGAGAGAGGATAGAGACATACATCCCTCTTTTTAAACACAGCATCCTGAGCTAGGGGTGCTGGTGTACACCTTTAATCCTAGCATTGAAGGGGCAGAGGCAGGTGGATCTCCGTGAGTTCCAGGTCAGCATGCATAGTGAGTTCCGTACAGCTGGTGCTACATAATGCGACTCTGTAAAACAAAACAAGCCAACAAAATCCACCTTGGCCTAGAGGAGAAAGGGCTTAGTGGTTAAGAGCATGTACTGTTCTTGCAGAAGACTCAAATTTGGCTTCTAGCACCCATGGTGACTTTCTTTACAGGTGCCTGTAATTCCAGTTCCAGGAGGTCTAATGCCTTTCTCTAGCTTTGAAGGACTCCTGCATACGCCTGGTGCACACAAACAAACCCAGCACACAAATACACTTAAAAATAAATCTTTCACTGTGAGTTCGAGACCAGCCTGGTCTACAAGAGCTAGTTCCAGGAGAGGCTCCAAAACCACAGAGAAACCCTGTCTCGAAAAACCAAAAAAAAAAAAAAAAAAAACAAAACAACAAAAAAAAACAAAACAAAAATAAATCTTTCAAAAACAGCACATACTGCTCTCTCTAAAAAAGAATCCCATCGGACGGTGGTGGTGCACACCTTTAATCCCAGCACTTGGGAGGCAGAGGCAGGCGGATCTCTGTGAGTTCGAGACCAGCCTGGTCTACAAAGTGAATTCCAGCACAGCCAGGGCTACACACAGAAACCCTGTCTCCAAAAACAAACAAACAAAAAAAAAAAAACAAAAAACCCCACAAACCTCACATCTCTGTGAAGTGACACGACATTTTGCTATCTAATTTAGCTGAAATGTGTATGCAGGCCTGTAGCATGGTCTCCCTCTTCCAAGTGAGTGACAGGCTGTGCCAAAATTGTCTATTGAATCTATTATTTTGTGTTTTGATTTTACAGAAACGAAGGAAAAAACCAAAGCAGATCAAGATCCAGAAACACCATCAAGTCCACAGGGTCTACAAGAGAACTGTTCAGAAGACGACCCTGATAGCTATGTTCTGTTTTAACAATACTCAGCGATGAAGTTGCAGTCCAACCGAATATAGCATACACATCTTCTCTTGTAAATTTTTACTGAAACATTGTAGCAATTGCTACAATTTGCATTACTGTTTTAGCTTGTGTTTTTTCCATGTAGATATTATCTGAAAGAGAGAACTAACTTTCAAAGGCTCTAACACATAGACAATAGTGACAATAGTGTGTGTGTGTGTGTGTGTGTGTGTGTGGTGTGTGTGCTGTCTGAGGATGTACATATGTATGTGGGGGAAGACAGTAGAGGGAGGGACGAATAAGAGCAGGGGAAGGAGTGAGTAGTTGATTTTCCTTTAAGAAGAAACATATATTTGGTAATTGTGAGAAGACAGCAATTAGATATGAACACTTAATATTTTGAAAGTATATAGTTTTTTTGTGAATTTTGTCAGTTATTGATGTAATTTCAGAATTTTATTCAAGCTTTACATGGCTCGCTGAGCTAATCTAAACAAGTCTATTCTAGAACTTCTTGCAAAATATTTTGGAATTATAAACATCATTTACTTCTGTGTGTGAATCTGGACCTTCTACTTCTATTTTTTTAAAGCTGAGTTTGTGAAAAACGTACATTGAATTATCACTTGCAGGCTAAGCTGTTGCCAAGACAGCATCTTGATATGTGCTGGAATGGGGAGGGTGGTAAAGCACCGAATGGCAGGCCATCTTTGTTCACTAGGGTTTAATCTGGTCTCGTGGAGAAACAAAACAGAAAACAAATCATTCTGAAAGAAAGCAGCGAGTGCAGCAGCTTCCTCTCCGAGGAGCCTCCAGCCTGGCTCTTGGCTGTGCTGTCCTCTCTATGAGACTGCCTCTCTTTCTTAACACCCATACTTAAAACCTATATTAAAGTAGCATTAACATGCTCCCCCAAAGGGAACAGTGCTGGTGCCATAGGAATGGGACGTGGAGATGGGGGGGGGGGGGGAGCGCTCACCTCTCCAGAGTGGAGACTTGGAGGATTGCAAGATCCCTTAGAACTGCAGTTATGGGGAGTTAACACCTGTCCATGTGGGTGTTGGGAATTGAACCTAGGCATTCTACAAGAGCAACAGTGTTCTTAACCACTCAGGTTTTTCTTTTCTTTATCGTTGGTCTTTTTGAAGACAGGGTCTTATAGAGTCCAGGCTGGCCAGAAACTCACCTCGGAAGCATGTGTCCCTAGCTTCATGCAGTGCTAGGGCTCGAACCAAGGACTTTGTACATACCAGGCAAACACTCTTCCAACTGAGCATCCCAGTCTGCTTTAAAAATAAAAAGTGTGTATGTATTCTTGGGTACTAGTGAAAGTGAGTGGGTTCGTGGGTGCCCATGCATGACATGCCTGTGAGACCAGATGTTTGTTTCCCTCAGGGGCTCTCCATTTTATATATTCAGGTAGGCTCTCTCACTTGAACCCAGAGTTCATACTTGAGCAAGCCAGCTTCTTCCAGGGGTTGTTTGTCTCTAGCTCCAGGTCACTACACCTCCCCGGCATTTACTTGGGTTCTGGCAACCCGAACTCTAGCCCCTGACATGCATGGCAAGTGCTTTACCCACTGGGCCATCTCGCCAGCCCCTTGTCCTGTTTCCCTCCACCATTGCCTATAAACTTATACTGTTTTCTTAGCTCTACCCAGATACCAGTGTGAACCAAATTATTTCTGTTTTCTTGTTGGTTTGGAGGTCTGAGATCACGAATTAGAATCCCCCCAAGAAGCCACCTGAGCTCCACTCTGTACTGCCCTTTTCTTGTGGCAGGAAGGAGTTTGGGCATGCAGGAACTACATCTGAAGACTTACTGTGTGTGGTCCTGGCTGGCCTCCAACTCACAGGGATCAGTCTGCTTCTGCCTCCTCAGTACATGTGTATATATATATATATATATATATATATATATATATATATATAGTGTGTGTGTGTGTGTACATATGTGCAGGTGCCCGTGGAGGCCAGAAGAGGCATCAGATCCCGTGGAAGTGGAGTTACTGCCCGTTGTGAGCTGCCCAACATGGGTGCTCGAAATCTAACCTGGATCTTCTGGAAGAGCTGCGGTGCTTTTAACTGCTTGAGCCATCTCTCCAGTTCCTTGAGGTTGTTTTTAAAGGCAGATTCCTAGGTCTAGTGTCTCCAAGTCTACTTTGAGTTTCAGTAGTTGGCACAGTTGGTAATTACACACTTTTGGTATGATTAGCAAGTGACTAGCATGTCTTTCTGGAGGACAAATACCTTCCACTGTTCAGTTTGACTCTCGTATTAATAGCGCCGACTAGTGGCAACTGCAGCTTTTATTCGGTTCATTTTTAAAAGCGTGCAGATGTTGCCAGAAGGTACTCAAACTTGTTTCTCCAGCTAGACAAGACCAGTGTCTCCTAAAAGAAAAAAGCCTTTCGTAAATTTCAGGTACAAGACTATTGATAGAGGACACAGTATCAGTTTTAACTTAAAAAAAAAAAACCCACAATTTCCTCATAAAACCCACAATTTCCTCTTAAATACCTGCCTCCTAATACTGGTTATTTCCCACTCGTGACTTGCTAGTCTGTGACAATGAACTTAATGACAAAGAAATAGCTTTTCATAGTTAAGCCTTTAGTCTGCGGACTTGCTTATTTTTAATATTTTACGTTACCGTTACTGGTAATAGGTGGATTCTCGCTGCCCACCCCCACCCCCCAACTAAGATTTTGAAATTCCAGAAACACAATCATGTACTCAAAGAAACAGTTTGGCTAAAAGACTCTTACAAGTGGTTAAAGCGCCGGCAACTGGATATTGCATGAGATTAAAATACAATTCTTGCCGGTCCCAGCTTTTCAATGTGTGTGCTGGCTCTTTACTCTCATTTTGGTTCTGGCGGTTTGGAGCTCACGAAACGTCCCGGACCATTTATTAACTCCTAGGCTAGGTTGGCTGTAATAATATGCACCACTCTTGATTTATTTGGGCTTCTTTCTCGACAAATAGTTATTACTGAAAAAGTGGAGCAGGGTGGCAAATATAACATGCAGCCCACGGCCAAACAGAATTTTATATATTTAACCTCCAGTTCTTTGGCTCAGCGGCTAAAGGAACCCGCTAACACTGACGAGCCGAATTTGATAACCGGAGCGGAACCACGCGGTGAAAGGAGAGAAGCGCCTCCTGCACTGTCATCTGACTTCCACATGCTCCCACGCACACATAAATGTAAAAAAAAAAAAAGAAAAAAGAAAATTAAGCTCCCAAACTTCAGTTCTTTAGCCGTGCGGTCATAGTTTACACGCCATTTCCCTTTAAAACGCTGGGTCATTTTTTAGTCATGGAGGACGCTTATAATTCAAGAGTATCTTGGCATGTACATCTTTATCCATGTGCACCATCCTCGGAGGGCACACTGCATGCCGCATAATGGATAGAAGGTGGGCCGCCCGCACAGCTTCTCTGCGACCACCGCAGTCCTCCACGCGGAAACTGGGCCGCCATTGACTGCGTTCTCCAAGACCCGGCACCGAGAGACAACTGCGCAGGCGCCCAAGCCCACAGGGCGGAAGCGGAAGCGGAAAGCTGCGTACGGCGTGTGGACGATTCAGCGGCCTGCAGCCATGCGCGGCTTGGCGGAGCGGGGTTCCTGCACCCCAGCGGCCCCGTGCGGGTGCACTCAGCCGGCCCTGGAGACAGGTAAATTATAGGGACTCGGAGGCGCCGCGGCCGGCTTCCTCGCCGAGAAGAACGCGAACTGCCTGACGGGCCTTATTGTCTTTGCCGCCAAAGTGTGGGTCACGTGCCCCCACGATCACGTGACTTGCCAAGGCCAACGAGAGTGACTAGCGCGTTCTTGGTACTCGGGGGTGTGGTTTGGCTGTAGTCCCAGCACAGTAGCTGTGGGCCGGCCATGTGTTTTATGGTCCTTTTTCTTTAGGGAGCTACAGAGGGCTAGGATGTGTGTGGCTGATGCTGTCATTTGGTCCCAGTTTCTTCGTCTTTAATCCTGTTACACAGGAACATGGATGGAGAATTTAGCAACAATAATAAAAAAACAAACTAAACCCAAACAAACAGTAGTACCTGAAAATACTCTTGGAAGAAACTTGGAAGTTGTCAGAAATATACACAATATAGATGGACAGAGAAAGCCAGTCTAGGAAGCTAATATACAGTGTGGTGTCTGCTTTTACAGAATTAGGAGTAAATGAAGTATTGTTTAGGCTCAAAAGTACATATGATAAGATCATATTTTGAAAGGTAACAGATGATGATAAAGATTGGATTGCAGCTCCGAAGGCAGTCCGCAGGCATGCAAGGAGCACTGTAGTTGTGTGCCTGCTGGGCGTGTTATGCTTTTTCCATCCATATTGCATATAATCTTTGCTATGTATAAGTAATAGAGTTTTGTGAGAGACAGTCCCAGATTTATAGCCTTCCTGGTTGTGCTAATAGATTTAATGCAAATGAGGTAAAAATGGAGATCTCTTCAAAGAACATACAAAGAAGTAATTATAAATATAAATTGTAATTTATACCTCAGTATATAATCAACACATTTGTTATGTTAGTGTAATTTATGTATTTATATAACTACACGTAAAAATTGAGGTGGGTATGCTGGTGCACAACTGTTTTCCCAGCAGCTGGGAGATGGGACTGATGCTGGAGGTTCATGAGTTCGAGACTGGCCTGAGCTACTTAGTAGGACTCTATATTTAAACATTTTTTTTAAAAAAGGATTTATTATCTGTACAGTATTCTGCTTGCAGCACCAGAAGAAGGGCCCAGATCTCATTACAGATGGTTGAGAGCCACTATGTGGTTGCTGGGAATTGAACTCAGTATCTTTGGAAGAACAGTCAGTGCTCTTAACCTCTGAGCCATCTCTCCAGCCCTTAAACATGTTTTTAGTAGTTGTATTTGTACCTAGATTTTCTTTTGAGTGATCTTACCCTATTTTCTTCCATAGGAAATCTTTTAACTGAGCCAATAGGCTACTTGGAGTCGTGTTTCTTGGCCAAGAATGGTACTCCAAGGCAGCCGTCCATTTGCAGCTACTCCAGAGCCTGTTTGAAGATCAGAAAGAGCATCTTTAATAATCCTGAGCATTCCTTGATGGGCCTGGAACAGTTTTCTCATGTTTGGTAAGTTGTTTAAGAAGTGGTAGTTTGGGTCCTGAGAAAGCACAGTCATTTGAAGGCATCTTTGGTATCTGCCATCTCTTCCACCCTAATCTGTATGATTATAGATTATGTATGGATTCCCATACTCAATTTCTGCTTTTGGTTGTTTGCATATCTGGGTACCTTTAGGAATCTGGGATTCACTGAAGGAACATGTTTTAACTACAGCTTGTTCTAATTATGACGGCTTCCTTGTGTTAAACTGAAGCCATGGATCTCCTGGATTCTGCCCATGGGTCCTTATGCTGGTCTCTACAATAAGAATCAACCAAACTGTGATCTGTGGTCCCCTCTTTATCTGTCTACATCCGCTTGTGGGATCGCAGCTGTGCCTGTGTAACATGATCTGAAGCTGCATGCTGTCTCTGGCATGCCTATTGGTTTATGTATTGTGTGTGGCTACCACTGTGAAACTCTGCTCTGGTAGCAGAATAGTTGAAACTATGTCTGATTGGCCTCAAATCCTAAAATATTTGCCATCTGACCTTTCACAGAATAAGTTTGTGGGCCCTGTTGTAGGTCCTTGAAGAATTCAGTTTACCCTCCCTAAAAGGCAGAAAGCCATAAGAGTTTGGATTCTACTTGCTCTCATTAAGAGTTCTGTTTCTACCCATGTTTACCTTGCCCTAGAGGGAAATGCAGTGTTAGGTTTTTAGTTCATCCTCTTAATCATCACTCAGGCTCAGTGTTAGCTATTTTGTGGTTCCTGTATAAATTGCATGCTCTTGTACCTGGCTTTGAGTCCTGTGTTGAGTTCTTTACTTGGTCATTTATATAAGAATGTCTTATATATTATAAATAATCAGGTAACCCACAGTATAGCAAAGATGTATAACAAAGATCTTTCCTGTTCTGTTTAGAAAGGCCTTGTCAGGTTGAATGTTTCTGAGCATCGATTTCTTCTCCCTCAGCGTGAGGGCTAAATTATGCTTCCTAGGATTGTTACAATACAAAGTGGCTATGAAAATGTTAGCATACTACATGGCAAACAGCAGGCACTGTGAAGTGGCGTTCCCTTGGCCATGTGTAAATCTGTTAAGTTCTTGCTGTATGCCAGTCTTTGTGTGGAGATGACTCTCTTCCCACCAGGATGGAGGGAGGACTCATTTCCCATGGTTGAGAAATTTAATAAAAACTATTCCCTTCTCAAGTCATTATATTAAAATAATTTGTCCTCTTTTTAAACAAATGGCTTGGTTTGTTTTCAATAGGATTTTGTTTGTTTTTCACAAAAACGGCCATTTGAACTACAAGGCAAAAGTACAGCCGCCTAGGTTGAATGGGGCAAAGACTGGAGTGTTCTCCACAAGGAGCCCACATCGCCCTAATGCAATAGGACTGACGCTGGCCAAGCTGGAGAAGGTGGAAGGTAACACACTTACTGCACTCTACTAATGCTGGCTGCCGGGCAAGGCGGGAGGTCGCTCACTCCCACTTTAGTGACCCTGGCCATGCTGGGCGAGGCGGGAGGTTACTCACGCACTGCTACTTTGCCCTTTCCTGTCATACTCCTAAAATCAGCTTAGATGCACTGTTAGCTACTGTTCGTGCCGACACTGTGGCATCACTTTTGAGAGCCCTCAGGTGCCTAGGAATGTGTGATGATTGAAAGGGTGTCAGCATGAGAAACACTACAAAACCAGCTCTCAGAAGGTGCTCAGAGCTTGTTTTTATCATTCTGCTATGAAAAACCAGTGCTACTTTTTAAAACTCATATCTTTTGTAATCCAAGACACATCTCACCAGCTGGGGACTAAGTATTCAGGTATATGAGCCTTTTAGCCCTTTCTCATTCAAGCCGCCACACTACACATCTGTTTAACCATTGACTTTGTGTCAGGCTTTGTAAATGATCGAGATACATTGATGACTAACTCAGATAAAAATCCCTGCCCATGCAGAACTTAGCCTCTGCTGAGGCAGGTGAAATCAGAAAAGTGAATGGCAAACAAACACCAATAAGTTATGAACACTGTCGACGTGGAGACAGGAGTGCTTCTTATTCTAACTATCGTAAAGATCACGAGCCAGCCACTCCTGTGTCAGAAGGCCAGTTGATAAGAGAGAAGCCTAGTAAATAATGTTCATGCGTAGGGACGGTTGACAGTTTCCTATGAACTCCTTGAGTTCTCTGTGAATTCTATCATTTAGATAGTCCTGTGTCACCTTTACCCTGGTCCAGGCTTGCACATAGCATGTTTCAGACATCTGGGTTTTCCTTCCTTCCTTCCTTCCTTCCTTCCCTCCCTCCCTCCCTCCCTCCTTCCTTCCTTCCTTTTTTTTTTTTGACAGGGTTTCTTTGTGTAACAGCCCTAGCTGCCCGGAACTAGCTCTTAGATCAGGCTGGCCTTGAAGTCACAGAGATCCGCCTACCTCTGCTTCTCAAGTGCTGGGATTAAAGACGTGCGCCGCCACCACCACCTGGCTATCTGGGTCTCCTTGCAATGTGTTTTTCTTTAGGTCAGAGTCAATGTGAACACATGCTGTGTTTTGGTTCTCATTCATCAATGTTCCGGGAGTCAGGATAGGAGACTCTGTACCAGCATCAGGAAGTCAACAACAGCTATCCAAATGGGACAGCCAGAGACCTGTCTTAATATTTAGTTATAGGGTCTTGTGTCCTGCTGACTGTTTTGAGTCTTCATGGATACCTTTCTAGTTTTGTATAACAAAATGATCCAAAGTGTATCTGCTTAGGCAGCATACGTTGATGATGTGTTTAAAACACTGCTGTTTTTCCAGGAGTCAGTAGGATGGGCTTATCTTTGCTGGTCCTCTGCACTGAAGTTGTTACAGTGTTCATTTCCTCATAGGTAGGATTGAGGGCCCAGCTTTGTGCCAGTGTTGTCTGCAGGCTGCCCACATTGCTAGGGCATCTTATAGCTGTTTGGCACTGGGCTTTCTCAGCATGCTTGTGCACTGCACCAGGGTGCAGGGAGAACTAGTCAGGTTGAGTCTGTGGTCAGCAAGGACTCCTTTATGGAAAGCTTTATTGAAGGGGATGAGAACTCTTTTGCTAGGTTCTTTGACTTATATTAAGTTGAACTCAGAAAAGAAGGGGTTACACAGGACATGAGCACCAAGTTGGGGAGCATGTCAGACCTCCTAAAATTTCCTCATCACAGTAGAAATACACATTGTTGGTCTTGTGAGATGCTGAGGGTTGGCGTGTGCCTAGAAGTGATACAAAGATGAGTGAACCCCAACATGTGTTCCAGGGGCCTGCTCACTGTCAAGGCGCAGAGGCGTTGGTAAGTCATTGCCATTCTGTAGGAAAAGGCTTGAGTGGAGGTTTATACACTTAGGCCTCTGTGAGACCCAGAGGAAAGAGCCAGGAAAGTTTGTAAGTGATGTGTTCTGTATGAGCCTTGAGGAGTTGGAGTTTGGCAGGTGAAAACGTGGGTTTCCAGGCAGAACAGTACAAGTAGGCTCAGTGAGGTGCAAGGAGGTATTTGGAGAGAGAGGGGATAATCCTCCCATTTTTGCCTGAACCGCTGTCCATTGTAAACACCTAAGAGGACCTTTATCCCCCTTCAGGTGGCACTGTATTCCTGTCTGGAATTGACATGATACACGGCACACCCGTTTTAGACATAAAGCCCTACATTGCTGACTATGACACACCACAGAACTTGGAGCCTCTGGAGGACTTGAATGTGCAGCATAACCACCATAAGCCTAGGGCCGCATCTCAGTCTGATGGCACAGCTGACAGTTGTGACCAGCGGCTGCTCCCAGGGTGTGAGAATGCACTGCACTGCCATAGCGCTGAGGAGAAACTGAAGTGCCTTGAAGACAGGACCCCAGAAGACACCTCCCAGAAGCCCAGAGATGGCACAGAAACCCGGCACACTTTGCCTGGGGACAGAGAGAGAATAGTGGGTGTGGCGCTGGAATCAAGCAGAAGTGCCGGTGTGGATGTGGCTGAAGAGCAGTGTGGCCCACAGAATCTGAAGAACTTTCTGGACAAAGGCACAGATAGGTCAAGGAACATAGACCGTGCCGTGGTCCTGCAGGGGAACAATGCAGAGACACAGTGGACTTCCTTCCATGCCAGGACAGCTGACAGAGCGCCCTGCAGTGTCGTCCCTGCCTGGGTGAAGGAGGCCCCTGCAGCCTCGTTACAAGTCCGGTTTACTCCTCATGCGGAGATGGATCTGAGGAAGCTCAGTTCAGGAGGTAAGCCAGGGTACTTGGGGTCTCCTAGGCCTGAGTGAGAGATGAGCAGAGAGAGGAATCGGGCCCTATGCATGTTAGCTACAGACTCAGTCAAAGGATGAGCTTTTCTTTATAGACAGGATTATAACTTGGGAAAGCAGTTATATATATGGAATATTTGTCAACGTGACAGGGTCTTTTATATATTTATTTTTATATTCATTGGTGTTTTGCCAGCACGTATGTCTGTGTGAGGGTGTCAGGTCCCCTAGAAATGGAGTTACAGATAATTGTGAACCACCATGTGGGTGCTGGGAATGAACCTCGGTCCTCTAGAAGAACAGTCAGTGCTCTTAACCACTGAGCCATCTCTCTAGCCCCCACTCCTTTTTAAATATATATATATTCCCCCCACTCTTTGGTTTTTCGAGACAGGGTTTCTCTGTAGCTTTAGAACCTGACCTGGAACTCACTCTATAGACCAGGCTGGCCTCAAACTCACAGAGATTTATCTGCCTCTGCCTCCCAAGTGCTGGGATTAAAGGCATACACCACTGCTGCCCAGCTTTTTAAATAGTTTTATTTATGTATATGGTGCTATGTCTGCATATACACCTGCATGCCAGAAGAGGGCATCAGATTCCCATTATAGATGGCCACGAGCCACCATGTGGTTGCTGGACATTGAACTCAGGACCTCTGGAGCTGTTAATGCTCTTAACCTCCGAGCCATCTTTCCAGCCCCGGTGACTGGGCTTTTAAGGAGCAGGATATAAACTTTGGGCATCACATGGCATTTTCTGTTTAACAGTTGTTCTTTGGTTTTCAGTCCAGGTGCTCAGAAGGCATCTGTGGAGAGTGGCTGCTGCCTTGGGAGATGCCCATGACGTGCAGCCCTTATCTTTCATTTATCTATTTAATATTTATTTTAATCACATATGTGCATATGTGTCTGTCTTGTGGGTATGTGTTCATATAGGTGCTGGTGGAGACCCGGGGAGGGCTTTGGATTTCCTGGAGCTGGAGTTATAGGCATTTCTGAGCTGACCAAAATGGGTAGTAAAAACCAAATTCAAGCTGGGCGGTGGTGGCGCACGCCTTTAATCCCAGCACTCGGGAGGCAGAGGCAGGCGGATCTCTGTGAGTTCGAGGCCAGCCTGGTCTACAAGAGCTAGTTCCAGGACAGGAACCAAAAGCTACGGAGAAACCCTGACTCGAAAAATCAAAAAAAAAAAAAAAAAAAAAAAAAAAAACAAATTCAACTCCTTTGTATGAGCAGGAAGTGTTCTTAACCACTGAGCCATCTTCCCTGCTCTGCTTGCTTTTTTTTTCTCTTTTCTAACAGTATGCAGATGGTGGATTGTGCTTGGTTTATACTTGGATACACTCAATTTCTTACTTGCTTTTCTATCTGGCTAAAGAGGTTTCTGTTTTCTTCTGTCAGGCGAAGACCCTCCTGCCATAGTGATTTCCCCCATAGGACATACACTTCCTGCCAAAGGAAGGCCACAGGGCTCTGTTTGGAACCCATTTAACACATGGTTCTTAGCATGTGTTGTTTGGTTTCCCTAGTTTATAGCAGATGGAGAGTGAAGAAAGCAGGTGCCTGTTAAGAGGTGGGAATGAGGATGCTAGCAAGAAGTAGCTGTTTCCAAGGAGATGACAGGTGTCCAAAGGGCTGAGAACTGTTCTTGTGTTTCTTCTCTTCTCTTCTCTTCTCTTCTCTTCTCTTCTCTTCTCCTCTCCTCTCCTCTCCTCTCCTCTCCTCTCCTCTTCTCTCTCTCTCTCTCTCTCTCTCTCTCTCTCTCTCTCTCTTTCTCTCACTCTTTTTTCAAGACAGGGTTTCTCTGTGTAACAGTCCTGGCTGTCCTGGAACTCACTATTGTAGACCAGGCTGGCCTCGAACTCACAGAGATCCACCTGTCTCTGCCTCCCGAGTGCTGGGACTAAAGACATGCACTACCACCACCCAGCTTGTGTTACTTTTCAGTAACTAGCCAGCATGGCCATGGGAAGAGGGAAATGTGCTTGTTTACTGTGCAGTTGCTCACTGAGCATCTCCAGCACTGTTCTGGCCTGTGGGGTAAACATCAGTGAGGAAAGGGGCTCAGAAAATCCCGGCCTCCACAGAGTTTGCATTCTAGTGGGTGGAGAGACATAAGCTCAAGGCTCCGGAAGTAAGCACACTGCTGTGCAAAGCACACAGAAGCATACACTGTTGGAAGGTAATGGTGGCCTGGGACATGACTAAGAGAGAGCAGTGCTGAGGGCTGCATTTGGAAACAGATGACTGGGGAGGCCTCACTGAGGGGACACAATGAGAGCAGACATGAAGGAGATGGAGTGAGTTCACTTAACCAGAGGAAGGAAACCAGCCTCCCGAGAGCCAGTGCTCGGCCCCAAGAGGAAGGGTGTGTGGCTCCTGAGAAGTCATCAGCACAGTGAACTGAGGAGGGTCCCAGAGGCTACAGCAAGGGCATGAGGCCACATGGGTTCTATATGCCACTTAAAAACATTTAGCCGCCGGGCGATGGTGGCGCACGCCTTTAATCCCAGCACTTGGGAGGCAGAGGCAGGCCGATCTCTGTGAGTTCGAGACCAGCCTGGTCTACAAGAGCTAGTTCCAGGACAGGCTCCAAAGCCACAGAGAAACCCTGTCTCGAAAAACCAAAAAAAAAAAAAAAAAAAAAAAAAAAAAAACCATTTAGCCAAAGGGCAGTGGTGGCACATGCCTTTAATCCTAGCAGTCTGGCAGGCAGAGGCAGGTGGATCTCTGAATTCAAGGCTAGCCTGGTCTACAGAGTGAGCTCCAAGATAGCCAGGGCTGTTACACAGAGAAGCCCTGTCTCAAACAAACAAGCAAACCAAATAAAAAACAAACAAAACAAAACAAAAAAGCATTTGGCCAGGCACGGTGGCATACATCTTTTATCCTAGCACTTGGGAGGCAGAGGCAGGTGGATCTCTGTAATTTTGAGGCCAGCTTGATCTATATAGTGAATTCCAAGCAAGCCAGGGCTACACAGAGAGACCCTGTCTCAAAAAGTCAAATGTGTTGCACCTGTGCACACCATAGTGCCTTTGTGGACTTCAGAGGAACTTGCAGGAGCCAGGTCTTTTTTCCACCACTGGGTATAGAACTGAGGTCGTCAGGCTTGGCAGCAAACACCTTTACACTGAGCCTTCTCACCGGTTCCTTAAAATATACACATACACATATGTAATTCACTTATTTTTACTTTATGTATATGATTGTTTTGCCTGCATGGGTGTGTGTGTGCACTGTGTGTGTGCTTGTTGCCCAAGGAAGTCAGAAGAGGGTGTTCGATCTCCTGGACTTGTCACCCACTGTATGGGTGCTGGGAAGTGAATCTGAGTCCTCTGTACAAGTTCTCTTCACTGCTAAGCCTTCTCTCCAGGCCCTCCCCCCCATATATACTTTATTTTTGTTAAAGAATTTATGCCCGTGGGAGGTTTTATCCCTTGGAAGAGTGAGTATCTGTTTACCTGAAACACATGACTGGGCCTCTGGGAGGGTGCTGAGCTTCTAATGGGTTTTGTCCTTTGCCTTTTGCAGTTTTGTCCTGGACTCTCCATCTGCTAGCCATTGCATCTAGCAGTGGGGTTTGGATGCCTAGTTTTTCTGCCCTTCCTCCTTCCTTCTTTCCCTCTGTACTAAATGGCCTGGTGTTTACTATCTAGATCAGGCTGACTTTAAACTCGCAGAGATCTGCCTGCCTCTGCCTCTCAAGTACTGGGATTAAAGATGTCTGGGGTGTGTGGTGGGCCGCTTTGAGGACACTGAGTGCTACTTGTTTCTCTTCCACTGGGAAAATGACAAGAGTTAAGTTATCGATTGGACATAGAGAGAATGGTATTTAGTGGGCAGAAATGAAAGCTTGCCTCTCCTGGTTTGCAGACTTGTGGAGAATACACCTGAGTATTTTGTTCAGTAGGAGAGAAATTTTGGAGGTGCAAGTCTCTGAAGTGAATGTTTCCAGAGCCTGTTCCTTTTATGTGAATGCAGAGCTACCACATTTCATGCTGAAACTCGCTGTCTCTGGGTTTGACCTTGTGTGCTTGTCGTTGCAGATGCGGGTCAGATGTCATTTAAATACTTCCAGTCTGCAGAGGAAGCCAGGCGTGCCATCGAGGCTGTGCTGTCGGCAGACCCCCGGTCTGTGTATCGGCGGAAGCTCTGCCAGGACCGCCTTTTCTTCTTCACTGTTGACACAGCTCATGTCACCTGCTGGTTTGGCCAGGGCTTTGCCGAGGTTCTGCAGATTAAACTGGCTTCTGAGCCTGTTGAGATGACTGACCCTGAGGAGTCCTTGGTGGCCCTGGGGTCTTGAGCCCCATCGTGTATTTAGATGGCCTAGTTGATCTCTGGGTGAGCTGCTTTTGTCCTTTTACTGCTTCAGTTGGTGCCTTTTACAATATTTATTTCAAGGAAATTGTTGTTTGATTTTGGCTTTGGTTTTGATTTTTCAAGACTATTTTCTATGTAGCCCTGGCTGTCCTGGAACTCCAGGATAGACAGACTGACCTCAAACTCACAAAGATCCACCTGCCTCTGCCTCCACTGTGTGCCCTCATACCCGGTGAAGGAAACATGTGTTCATCAATGTCCCCGAGAGCTGTGAGGCACAGCGTCCCCACCCTGTGCTTTCCTCCAGTGCCGCAGACTCCCAAAGCGCTGCTGTGGGTAACTGCCTGGGAACTCTCATTACTGGTGCTTGACACAGAGAACATTCTCCTTTATTTTATTGGTTTTTCAAGATAGGGTTTCTCTGTTAACTCTGACTGTCCTGGAACCATGCTCTCTAGGCCAGGCTGGCCTTGAACTCAGATTCACCAGCCTGTGCCTCCTGAGTGCTGGGTTTCCACGTCACAGCTGATCCATTCATCAGTTCACACTGACTTTTCCCACTCAAGAGCCTGTTGTAAATCACACTGAGATGTGTGACCAAATAAGACCAAGTGACCGTAGCAATCTTTATGGATGAAATTCCGGCTTTAGGGTGACATTGTTACACACACATGCAAACAACAAATCGGAGCTCCTTGAATATCCCTAGTCAGAAAGGAAAACTACCCCCTCCCCCACCTCAAGTGAGTGGCTACTGGTTTGTCTCTGACTCTGCTAAGAAGCCATGACTCAGCTTTTGGTGATTACCACGAGCCGAACAAAATGTGGGGCAGAGTTCAAGGCACACACTCACATAGCCCAGGCTGTCCTGGAACTCTGATCCTCTTGCCTCGGTCTCCTGGTCTCTGAAGCATTTCGTGTCGCAAGTCATGGTTTGTGGAGGAAGTAGACACACGTGCCAGAGTGGATACAGTTTGATAAACTAATTAACACCGCACAGTTGTGTGCCGCGCAGGAAGCAATTACAGGGGTGTGTGGCTTGTAGGTGATTTTAATGAGGCGCTCTGAGATAACTGAAGATTTACGATCGGTGTAGCCAAATTAGACTCCTGTCAACTTGGTACTCTTTCCTAATCACAGCTACAGATCTCAGAGCTGATTGATCATGGTTTGGAACCAGCCCATGGCCTGTGGGAACTTGTGCAGTCATTGGCTGACGCCATCCCACTCCTGAGCTGTCTGCTGGGTAGCTGTCGTTTCCTTTGACACTGCTTACAGTGTTTTCTGACAAGATCTTAAATTTGATTTTTCTAAAGCTTTTTTTTTTCTTCTGAAATACAGACTGTAAGAAGTTGTGAAAATAACTCAGAGGTCCCTTCTAGCCTTTCTGGTCTTCCGGTGAAAAGATCTAAAAGTATATTAAAGTATTACAGTGAAGCAGTTGGCATTGTAGGGCCTATCTTATAGTCTGCTTCTGATGCCTTTGTGTGTGTTCGTGTGGGTGTATGTTGTGTGGATATGTCACATGTATGTGTTTGTGGGTGTATGTTGTGTGGATGTGTGCACATGTATATGGAGTCCAGAAATGGCATCCACATTTTAAAAACTAATTACTAGAATAAAACCCAGGGCTGCACAGAGAACCCTGTCTCGAAAAAACGAAAACACCAAAACCAAAAAAAAAAAAAAAAACAAAACAAAAAATAGCAACAACTCTCTCCCTGCTAAAAAACTCAAAACAAAATAAAAGACCCTCACAAATAAATAAAAACAAACCAGATCTAATGTTTCTACAATTTAATGAGCTTCTGTACAGTTAGAGTTAGCATTTGGAACGGAAGCTGTGGAATTTCACTTTAAGCTGACACTTTCAGTATAGACTAGCCTGGCCTTGAACTCCTACAGATATCTGTCCGATGCTCCCTCCCGCCGCAACAGGGTTTCCTCTGTGTAACAGCCCTGGCTGCCCTAGAACTCTCTTTGCAGGCTGACCTCAAACTCAAGAGGTCCACCTGCCTCTGCCTCTGCCTTCCTAGTGCTGGGATCAAAGGCATGCACCACCACTGCCTGGCTTGAATATATTTTATATTCTTATCCACCACCCAAATAAAAGATCTGTGATAGAACTAGAGCTAGAAAAACAGTTAACTTTATACCCTCTTATATAATCATGTGCCTTTTTAGATTTTATTATCTTTAGTTATGTGTATTTGTGTGTGGGTATTGCATATGAGAACAGGTATCCAGGGATTGTGAGCTGCCTGACATGGTGCTAGGGACTGAACCCTTCTACAGGAGCAGTAGACATTAGTTCTGTGTAGGAGTCTTTAGCTTGGGTGTGTGTGTCTATACCATGTGCATGCCTGGCCTCCACAGAGATCAGAAGAGGGCGTTAAGATCCCCTACAACTGGAGTTACAGATGACTGGGTGCCATGTGCGTGCTGAGACTCAAACCTTGGTCCTCTGCAAAAACAAATATTCTTAACCACTGAGCTGTCTCCCCAGCCTGTCTCTTTTAAAATCAAGATACCTTTATTTAGCTTGTATGCGGTGTTCTGCCTGCATGTGATGTGTCCTTGCAGGCCAGAAGGGGGCACCAGATCTTATTAAATGGCTGTGAGCCACCATGTGGTTGCTGAAAACTGAACTCAAGACCTCAGAAAGAAGCAGTCAGTGCTCTTAACCTCTGAGCCATCTCTCCAGCCCCCAAGAGTTTTGTACATGTTTTGATCATGTTCATCCCTCCTTTGACTTCTCAGGTCCACCCCCTGCCTACCCAACTTTGTGTCCTTTTTTTTAAAAAAAAAAAAAACCATTAAGACCAGTTTGTGCCGCCTAAAAATTGTGGGTGTATGTTCTTCACTAGGGCCTGGTTGACTTCTCAGGGGATAGAGTCTTACACAAAAAACTGCCTCTTCCTCTCCCAGCACCTAACAGTTGCCAATAGCTCCATTTCTGGGGATAGGATTTGATGCTGTCATCTCCATGCTGGGGTGGTGACTGGGGCTTGCACAAGTCTCGTGTGTGCTGTCAAAACACTGAGTTCATATGTGCAGCTGCCCTGCTGTCTAGAAGATAGTCTTGTCATCCTCATCCTAGCTCCTAGCCTCTTTACATCCCCTCTTTTGTAATGGTCCAGGAACTTTGGAAGGGTTGGTGTGCTACAGATGTTCGTTCCTCTTGGGCTGAGCCCTCTATAATCTCTTATGCTCTGTACCCCGGCATATAGAAGGTTGGGAACAGCACTGGTCTGTGGCTGCAAGCATAAGCACCTTTTCTTCCTCCACCCAGACTGCATTCTCTCCCTCTCCCAGAGGAAGAGGAGGAGGTGCAACAGAGCAGCGCCTAGAGCCGCTGCCTTCACACTTAGTGGCTATGTCTTGTTGTCCTTGTCTTGAGTGCTCTAACCAGTCAGAGAAACTGCTCTAGTGACGAACTACAGAAATGACCTAGTGACTGTAGAAATGATCTCTCAAAGAATAGTCTTACAAACTTAAATATTCAGGTGTTTTGACAGCATGGCCATTTAGCAAAACAGTAGTGTATGCTCCAGTGGCCTGGGACCTCCTTAGCCTTGGCTTTTGACCAGGCTTAGAGTACCATATTCAACATTTTTATTTTTAAGAATGACACCTAGGGCTGATGAGACGCCTCGGCAGGTAGGCTCCTGACCACTTGAGCTTGGCCTCTAGGACCCATGTGCTGGAAGGAGAGAACTGACCATGATGTTTTCTGACCTTCACATGCATTCTGTGGCACATACCTTCACACGTGTTCTGTGGCACATACCTTCACATGCGTTCTGTGGCACATACCTTCACTACTCAAATACACAGCTGCTACGTAATAAATGTGTAATAATTGTTTACACTGGACTTCACAATTCACACAGCAAGTTTAAATATTTTTCCTCATTTGGTATTTTAACAATATTTCAGATTATGTGCGCAGGAGCTAGCTTGCAGCCTGTCCGCAGACTACTGTGGCCCACTGTGGCCCAAAGCCAACTCTCTTTTATACACTTTTTTTATTCACTTGTGTGTGTGTGTGTGTGTGTGTCTGTGCAGAGCCGTACCTGCGGAGGTAAGTGGATCCTGGGGATTGAACTCAGATCACCAAGCCTGCCAGCAAGCTCCCTTAGCCACTGAACCATCTCACTGCCCCCTCCCCCCTGTTCTTTTTCTGACTGCTGCTAAGATTGGTCTTGACATTGTCAGACAAAGAGTATAATAAAAACTAGTCAACCAACAAAAACTAAGAAGACACACGTGACACATGGATTCACAGAACTGGAAACATTTCTTAACTGGTCCTTTTTGGAAACATTGGGGCCGCTGACCTGGAGTGTTGGTTCTCTGAACAGTGTTTGAGTTCCAGAAAAGTTATTTCTGAATGAAATTTTCATGTTGCCACATGAATACTAAAATGCTCTTTGTAATTTAAAAGGGTCTCTATGACAGAAAATGGTGGAGTAAAAGATGAATTGTATCTTCTTTTTGTATTTCCCATCCGTGTGTGCAAATGAGGTTATACAAACCCATGCTTATATGTGTGTAGTGTTTCTAGAAGGGTGAACACACGCGTTGGTGAAGATTGCTTCTTGGTGCTGTGGGTCAGTGTTCCCAGCCTGCTAGGCAGATGATGTGCTCCAGAGTCACATCCCATCAATGGTGTCTCTGCAGAGGGTTCTCTGGAACTCACTGGGAAAGGCGCTGTTTGCTATATTCTCTTCAGTCTAGTGTGAATTTTTTCTGACCAGGAGCACACATTTTTAAATGTGGAACATGAGGAAATGTCCTCTATCCCACTTGGAGTGGGTCTGACCTGGCTGGGTGTAAACGAACGAGTTAGATTTCTGTGTTTAAATTCACCGCTCTATGTCCTTCCTCCCTTGCCTTATGAAGTGCGGTGTTTATGATAAAGGGCATGGCCTTTCCTGCCGCGTCTCGGGTGCGTCAGGAAGCCAAACCCACCCGCATTGCACCTGTACCTGTTCAAGCAGGTAGCTTAGGCCTTGTTCCTGAGAGTGGCCGCTGTCTCCTGCTCTTCCAGACCTTTGGACATAGTCTTGTGTCTCCTGGGAGTAGAAGGCACCCAGTCCACGGTGCTGCTGGTCGCCCGCACTCCTTGTTCCAGAAATGGCCAAAGCGGTCCGGTCCATCCTATCTGATCGGAAGGGCTCAGTTTATAGGAGCCACTCGCTCGTCGTCGCCATCTACTGGTCCACTGTGTACTTGCATGGTAGAGCGTTCACCTATCACGTGACTGCTGAGGTTGCTCTCCAGGCGTCCCCAGGGTTGGCTTTTGCCGACTGTCTGCACAGGAGCCCTGAGCCTGGTCAATCGAGTCAGCAATAAAAGCCCACTTTGAAACCCAAGACTGGCTCTGTCTACTGAATGAGTGCTCTGCTGAGCTGTTACGCGGGTGCACAGCAGGAAGGCCCGGCCAGCATGTTGGCAGGGCAGAGCCTGTGTGTGGCGTGCAGTACGACTGTCCACGGGCTTGGAGGTGGGGGGGGGGGGGGGGACTGGATCTGAGAGAACTAGTAAAGTCGTGGCAGATACAGTCTAGGAACACAAGGGAGACCGGAGAGTTTTCCTGCTGGGCTTCTTTTTTCCTTTCCTAGTGTTACTGTCGTTATCATTGCTGTCTTCTTGTGGTTATTACTGAAAAAGATTTATTGTGTGTGTATGAGTGTGTCTTGCACACACACATAAACACGCAAATACATATGCATCCCTTCCAAAAGGTGAAGAATATGGGGTTTAAGTGATTAAGAGCACCAGTCACACCTCCAGGGGACCTGAGTTCGAGTCCTTGCATTTACACGGTGGGTCACAACTGTCTGCAACTCAAGTTGCAGGGGATCTTACACATCATCTGGCTTTTGGGGGCACTGCACTCATGTGGATAATATACAAAATGGAGACAAGACACTCAAACACACAAAATAAAAAGGGAAAATTTTAAGGGGAGAATATGAATTGTGGAGATCCGCTGGGCACCCCTGACCCAGCATCTGGCTGAAAAATGTATTCAGTTAAGAGGCGGCTTCCCACAGCTTCTGAGGACCCGACTGGGAGGGATTCAAAGTAGGTCAAGGGTCACAGGCTCTGGCCAGTAAAAGCTTCTAATGCAATTTTATTGAAAACGAAACAAAAAAAAAAAACCCCGCTTAATGGTATTATTTTGAAAAAACGCCTTGCCAATTTCTAAAGGTGAAGCTACAAGGAAAGAGACCCACATTTCCTTCTTGCGAGCCTGTCTCTCAAAGCATCCCTTGCCCCGAGGGGCGGTTTGGAAATCAGATCCGCCCAGATTTCTCAGAGCCCAGCGCAGGGCTGGGTGCGGGTAGCGCGGAGGGAGGGAAGCTTGAAGCGGCTTGCAGCGGGTCTGTTCTCATCCGCGGCCGCTCATCCCTCCCACATGTCCAACCTAGTGGGTCTGCGCCGGAGCACGCACCGCTTCAGCCCTGAGACCCTGGCGGGGCTCCAAGCAGTGTAGGCTCTGCTGGAAGGAGCCAAAGGAATGCCTGCTAGGCTGAGCGTATTCCGGGGCCGTGTGCAAACGGTGATG